CTTTTTGGCTTTTTGAAGTTTGAATTCTAGTGGTTTTTGACAGAAGCTGGAAAAAATCTGGAACTATGAAGAAAACTCCTCTCTAGGACTGAATATTAAAGGAAGCCTGTGGGCAGGCTGAAATGCTTGCTAGGTGACCACCTGGATCCCTTGTTTAGTGGAAGTAGGAGAAATGCATAAAAATAGAGATGGGTTGAGTCTGGCCACTGGCACTATGGGCCTGGTTCACAGGAACAAAAGGAGAAGACGAAAGCCAGTTGAATGGTCTGAAGTTCTTGACTTAGCACAAGGGGGCTAGGGTTGTTGAGAATTTGTGATGGGGCCATGGTCTAAGGCAAGGCGAGTGATGGACACCCTGTGTCCATCAGGGTGGAAAGCCCTGTGATGGAAAAGCCCACATTGAGTTGACCAGAACCCCACCAGATGAAGAGAAGATATTTGAGCCTGTGAACTGGTGCATATTGTTGCTGACTTTCTGTATGGCCTGCCCTGATTTGACTTTGCTTATGGATGTGGACTTCACAAGGTTCCAACTGGGATGAAAATTCTTTACGTCAAAGAATATGATGGTCTCTCTCAGACCACTGGGTTGATGTTAGTGGGCAGTCCCCATCCAAAATGGGGTGGATAAAGGCATGAAGTGGCTGGCTTACAAACTTTGATAGGTGGGGGAATATATTCATAGTATTATAGGATTAAAGTTTAGATGTTATACTTATCTGCAATTTTTAAGCATAGGATATTTTTGCTTTGTTCACTTATAGAATATTATGTTTAAATGAGGGTGGCACATATTGAATGATATGGATTATAGTTTCATCTGCTAGGTCCAGATATGATTTTATTATTGTTTGTTTGAGAATTATATATGACTACAGAGTTCTGTGAAAGTGTCAAATTGACAAGGGGTGGTCTGTGATAGTTACATAATCCGGTGTCGATTTGAGGATTAAGAGTGAAGGGGTAAAGTTTAGCCTGTCAATTATTAAATAGCCAATGAGGCTTCTTTGTGGGCATGGCCTTCTCCTATGGAGTCTGGGAACTCCGGTACTCCTCCCTGAAGGCAGGAGTCACATTCTCTCTCTGCTCACTTCCTGAGAGACTCTACTGACAAGATACATGGAACAACCTCTGGAGTCAGAAAAGCCACATGGAGACCCCAGCCAGTGCTGAGATGCCTACAATGCCGCTGGATCCACAAGACTTCTCATTCGCTAGCCTGTGATCTTCCTGCCTTCGGCATCACTGCATGTGTTTTGTGAATCTGAAAAGGAATTTATAGATTGGTATTGGACATATGGGCTAATATTGAACTTAAGGAGTTGATCTGGATTGGGCTGGGATGTTTTCTCAATATTCAATTGCTCTTGTATATAAAGCTCTTTCTTATACACCTATGAGTGTCTACGAATTTGTTCTCTAGTCTACCTGGACTAACACATGGTTTAACTGCCATAACAAATAAATCACTGTACTCAAAGGAGATTACACCCAGAGGCATAGCTAACCAAGCACAAATCCCACTGCCTGGATGTCTTTGTTAACTTTCTCTGGGCCTGTTAGGCAGTATGGCAGACTAGTGGGTACCACCTGTGTGTGTGTGTCTCCTCTCCTTTATCATGGACTAAGACCCCATTTCCCAACCACTCTGTTCTTGCAGTTGGCACAGTTGGCAGTTGGGTGGGACAAATGCCTGACTGGACTTTGGCCAGTAGAATGTAAGTTGGTTTGATGTACAATGTCAGAACCAGAAAGGAAAACAAGCACTCTTCTAGTTATTTCAAACACAGGAAATTTAATGCAGATTACTTCTTGCATAAGTCTTGAAAGGGCTGAGAGAGCAACACTGATGTAACTCTGGGATTGATTAATTAAAGGAAGCAGGTACCACCCTAGGACTGGAAGAGCAAAGGAAGAGGTGGTGCCACTAGAAGCTAGAACTACAGGAAAGTTGCCACTTGGCTGGTGCTGAGATCACAGACAAAAGGCTCTTTAGCTGGTGCTGGATCCACTCAAGGATGGAGGGATGCCACATGCCATTGTAATCACGATGCAAAAGGACTGCCTATCAGATGCTAGGCCCACTAAGGAGAGTGTCTGTTTGAAAGCTGATGCTGAGACTAGTTTGCTAGGTCTCCAGCACCCAACTATCTATTAGACTTAAGAGTAAAATCCATTCAAAGAAGTTCTCTCCTGGATGGCTTCTCTCATCATTCTCAAGTTGTAAATTTTCTATCATGACTTAATTTCACCAGAGTATTCTCAATTGAGAAATTAGAATATTTTTATCCAGATAATAGCTATGAGAGGTCTGGAGGCTTAGTGGCTCCCTGGTGGGCTACAATTCAAAAGGTCAGCAGTTCAAAACCACCAGCAGCTCTGAGGGAGAAAGATGGGGCTTTCTACTCTGGTAAAAAGTTAGTCTCAGAAACTCTGCCTATAGGGTCACTATATGTCAGCCTTGACTCAATGGCCTTGAGTTTAGTTGTTTGGTTTGGCAGGCTTCTGAGCTATGTGCCACACTGCTAACCATAAGATCAGCAGTTTGAATCCACCTGCTGCTTCACAGTAGATGAGGCTTTTCAGTTCCTGTAAAGATTTGCAGCCTTGGAAACCCAACGGGCAGTTCTCCTCTGTCTTGTAGGGTTATCTAAAATATATATATAAGTATCAATGAACTGATTTCTAAAATTAGGCATAGAGTGTGAATCTCTCGTTTGGGGGGATTTAAGGCATGAAAAGAAACATATTGAGTTATGCATCTTTTTCAGTTTATTTGGCTGCCTACAACATTCTTATCCGGAAGTGAAACATAAGCATCATTTATCCCATTGATAACCAAATCATGATTCTTAGAATAATGCAAAAAAGTCAGAATTTCAAACTTGCTTTGGGTTGACATCAACTCGATGGCAGGGGGTTTGGTTGGGTTTGGAAATAATAAAACTGCAAATTTGGTTTGTTTTTATCTAATCTCCACCTGGAGAAGTAAACTCACAATTCCATCCATCCAATAACATCGAGCTTTACCTTTCTGAGGCCCCAGCCCACAGCCCCCCAGGGTTTAAGGAAACGAGGGGGTAAAAAGCTTTTAAAATGACACAGAGCAGGAAGGACATTCTCCACTTGAAGACAGAACTTCAAGCATACATAAGAAAAGTCAATTGAGGGGACTTCAGAAAGCTAATGGAAAAACTTTTCATTCAATATTTACATGAACTTTTTGAAGTCTCTCATGTATTTAACATTTTAAGTAACTACCAGACTGTTTACCAAAGTGTCTGCATTATTTTACATTCTACCAGCAATATGTGCAGATACTAATTGCCCTACATCCTTACCAATCCTTATTATTGTCTGGCTTTTAAAATTTCAGCCTTCTATTGGTTGTTACAGGAAGACAAGCCTGGTGATATACTGTTGAAAACCATGTGGATATGAACCATCTGATTTGTAACTTACTGAGGGGTTGGTGCAGAATCAGACAGCATTTAATCCTGTTTGCATAAGTTCTCATGAACAGGGCCAGCTTTCTAGCCATTAACAATAGCGGCAGCAGGTGGGAAGTAGTATCACTTGTGGTTTTGATTCCTGGGGGTAATGCTGAGTATTTTTTTCATCGGATTATTAGCCATTTATATCTCTTCTTTGGAGAAACTGACCTGACTAGAACTCCAGGACAATGCTGAAAAGAAGTGGGAAGAGGGAAATCTATGATCATTACGTATCTACTCACTATGAAGCTTTGGCAGCTGTCTTTATCATTTGAGATCATTCCTTTCTATTACAAATTTGTTGATATTTGTATTATGAAATGGTGTTGAATTTTGTCAAAATATCTTTTCACCTCTATTGAGTTGATCATGTGGTCATTTCCCTTCCCTCCCTTATCCCATTGATATGGTGTATTACATTAATTGATTTCAAGGTGGAAAGACAACCTTACATTCCTGGAATAACTCCGACTTGGTTATGGTGTACAATCATTTTTTTGGATTTGGGAGTTTTCCATCTAAATTAATAATGATAGAGCCCTAGAGGTGTAGTGATTATGTGTTTGGCTGTTAAATACAAGGTGTGTTAGTCTTGGTAGACTTGAGAAACAAATTTAGAGACACTCATATGTGTATGAGAAAGAGCTTTATATAAAAAAGAAGTTGTATATTAAGAAAACATCCCAACCTAGTTCACATCAAGTCCATAAGTCCAATATTAACCCATATGTTCAATATCAGTCTATAATTCCTCTTCAGACTCTTGCAACGCATGCAATGATACCAAATGCAGGAAGATCACAGGTCAGTGGGTGGAAAGACTTGTAGATCCAGGGGCGGTGAAAGCATCGCAGTGTTGGCAGGGGTCTCCACGTGCCTCCTCCAGCTCCAAGGCTCTAGAGTAGCTCCATGTGTCTTGTCCGCAGGGATGTCTTACAGGGAGTGAGTGTCCTGCCTCCAGCAAGCTAGTTATCTCCTTAGTGCCTCCTCATGAGGTCCTCAAGCTGTGACCGGATTGACAGACTAGACTCCACCCCTCCGCAAATTGACACCAGATTATGTAACTACCACAGAAGGTCAGCCACTCCAGGAGAGAAAGTTGAGGCTTGCTATTCCTGCAAAAAGTGACAGGCTTGGAAACCCACAGGGGCAATTCTACCCTGTCTAATAGGGTTGTTATGAGTTTAAATTGTGTTCATGGCAGTGAGTTGGTTTGGATTTTTTAAATATTCATAATGAGATATTAGACTTTAAGTTTCATGTAATATCTTTGTCTCGGTTTTGTTATGAGGGTAGTATGGGCATAAAAGAATGAGCTGGAAGTACTTCTTCCTCTATTTGGGGGAAATATGGTAAATAATTCAGAATAATTTTTAAAATATTTTGGTAGAACTCACCAGTGCAAATTCTGGGCCTGAGCTTAAGCTTTTCTTTGTGGAAAGTTGCTTTCATTACTAATTCAACTGTTATACATCCATTCAAATCTATACTTCTCCTCGATTCAATGTTGTTGACTTTCAAACAGCAAACTTTTGGTTTCATGTTTTTCTGCATTGTTTTTCTATGATCTATTTTACAAAGTCTGATCTCATCATTCTATGCTATTCTAATCTTAGTTGCCTTGTGCTGTTGTAACACAAATACCACAAATAATTGTCTTTAAGGAACCAAATAAAAACTATTTTCTCACAGTTCTGGAGGCCAGGTCCAAATCAACGTCTTGTTCATGTTGATTCCATCCCTGTCAGTACTCCTGACCATTCTTTGGCAACCTTTACTTTGTTGGGATCCTCACATGGAGTCAGCCTTCCCTGCTTTCATCCACCCCCCATAGATTGCCTGTCTCAGAAGTGGGTAGGCTTAGGGTCTGCTCTTAACATAGAAAAAGGAAGTCCCCATTTCCAAGAAGGATTATGTCCACAGGCACAAGGATCAAAGAATTTAACACCTATTTAGGGGGAAGGGGAGTCAAATTCAGTCCATACAACTGATTATTTCTTTACATTTGAAAATACTGCCATTGAGTTGATTGCCAACTCATAGAAACACATAGGATAGAGTAGAACTACTCTTGTAGATTTCCAAGACCGTAACTCTTTATGAGAGTAGAAAGCCTCGTTTTTTCCTCCCATGGACTACCTGATGATTTAGAACTGCTGATCTTGCTATTAGCACTCCAACACATAGCCACTACAACACCAGGGCTCCTAATTATTTCTTTGGACATGTGTAATTATTGGGTCAAAGGGTATGAACCTTTATAAAAATAGGGATACCAACATTTTCCACAAACCACACATGCATTCTATTTTTTTTTAGCCAACTCTACCTCCCTTTACTAGATTTTTTTGTAAATGTGCTAAAACAATTAAAATATATATATTGCTGTAAAATCATTAGCATAGCATGTTTATATAAACATCTCACGGGGGAAGACAATTAGCAAACAAATGTAGAACACACATGCATTATTTGTGTAAAAATACAGTATATGCTGACTTTTCCTGAAGATTTACCAGATAAATTCACAAGAAGTTGCTCATATTTTTTCAATGAATAATTTTTTATTACAATAAAGTAGAAATATTATGAGCTCAAAATTAAGTGTAGTAGTGCTCTGTTAATGGGGATGCATTCCTGAGTAATGATCCAATACCTAACTTTATCAATTTCTTTTTGCCACTGTAATAAATTACCATGAGCAAAAGAATTGATGCATTTGAATTCCCTCATTGACAATAGAAAGTACCAAGGACTGCCAGAAAAACAAGTGACTTTGTTTTGGAAGAAGTACAACCAGGATACTCCTTAGAAGGGAGGATGGTAAGTTTATTTCTACATATCAGGAGAGACTGGTCCCTGGTGAAGGACATCCTGCGTGGCACAATCGAAGGTCAGTGACAAAGAGAAAGCTTCTCAAGGAGATGGATCAACACAGTGACCGCAAGAATGGGCTCAAATATCACACTACTTGTGAGGATGGGGCAGGAACAGGCAGTGTTGCCATCTGTCATACATGGGGCTGTTATGAGTTGGAACCATTAGATGGCATCTAAGAACAGCAGTGATATAAAATACTGTGTGAGACAGTGTTCTCTAGAGAAACAAAACAAGAATGCTAATCATTTTATATATATTTATACAGATAGATAGATATATAACACAAGAAATGAACAATTAAATTATAAAGCAGTACAAATGGCTCAGTGCAACTCACTCCTGTGAGGCACTGGCAATCCTTCAAGTCTTGAAGGCTGCCGGGTAGTCCTCTTTAGAGCAATCCAGGATATCTGGGCACAGGCAGCAAACTGCAAGGCAGGTCACCAACAGTCAGCCAGATGACAGGGTCTGACAGTCCCCAGCTCAAGAGATATAAATTCCAATGGTGTGGTGAAGCAGTTCTTGAAGGAACCTCAAATTACAGTGACACAGTCCACAGGTTAGGTGTCCTACAGGTAGTGTAGCTTCCAAATGGAGGCACAGAACAAGCAAGGCAGCCACACACTGGTCCAATGATCAAAGAGCAGGAGACAAAAAAGACGAGGTTTGCTGAGCCATTGATCTCTCCGCCTTTCAATTAATCCCACGTGTTTATCAGCCAGGTTGGCACAATAAACTACCTCAAATACCATGGCAACATTCTTGTACAGATCTGGAGATCAGAAATCTAAACTAATCTTAACTGTAATAAAGTTCAAGTGTCAATGTGGCTGATTCTGAGAAAATCTGTTTTCTTGCATTTTGTCATCTTCTATGGTGATCTATATCCCTTAGCTTGTGACTTCTTCATCTTTTTTTTTAAATTGTTTTATTGGGGGCTTGTACAATTCTTATCACAATCCATCCATCCATCCATTGTGTCAAGCACATATGTATATTTGTTGCCCTCATCATTCTCAAAACATTTGCCTTCCACTTTAGCCCTTAATATCAGTTGCTCATTTTCTCCCTCCCTCCCCACTCCTCCCTCCCTCCTGAACCCTTCATAAGTCATAACTTATTATAGTTTTGTCATAAGTTACACTGTCCGACGTCTCCCCCCCGCCCTCTTCTCTGCTGTCCCTCACCCAGGGAGAAGGCAATACTTAGATTCTTGTAATTGGTTCCCCCTTTCTACCCCACATTCCCTTCACCCTCCAGGCCTCGCCCCTCTCACCACTGGTCCTGAAGGAGTCATCCGTCCTGGATTCCCTGTGTTTCCAGCTGCTATATGTACCAATGTACATCATCTGGTCTAGCCAGATTTGTAAGGTAGAATTGGGATCATGATAGTGGGGGGGAAGGAAGCATTTAAGAACTAGAGGAAAGTTATATGTTTCATCGTTGCTACCCTGCACCCTGATTGGCTCGTCTCCTCCCCACAGCCCTTCAGCAAAGATAAACAAGCAGCCATCTAGCTCAGAAGCATCAAAGCCCATATGGAAGAAGCACACCAGTCTGTCTGACCACAAGGTGCAGAAGGGACCAGTTATTAGACATCAAAGAACTAAAAATCAGATCAGTGGGTGCCCACCTTCCTGGTACAATCACTGAAGACAAACGTGTGCATAAGCAAAGGTGGTGAAGAAAGCTGATGCTGCCCGGCTATCAAAAGATATAGCATCTGGCATCTTAAAGGTTTGAGGGTAAACAAGTGGCCATCTAGCTCAGAAGCATCAATGTCCACATGGAAGAAGCACACCAGTCCATGTGATCACAGGGTGTTGAAGGGATCAGGTATCAAGCATCAAGGAACAAAAAATATTGTAACAGTGGGTGGGTGCAGAGTGGATACTCAAAGCCCATCAATAGGCAACTGGACTTCTTCATCTTTAATGCGCATCATTCAGCTCTCTACTTCTTCCTCAGATGGTACAAGCATAAAAATCAACCTAACTTCTGATTCTCATTCTTTTCATTTTCCTGACACCAGTTATGGTACGGCAGCACGTTTCTCTCTGACTCTAGCTCCCATGAACTAAATCAAATCTCTCAGGCTAAAGAACACTACCCTTTAGTTTATGAAATAGGTAGGTGCCAATCCTAAAATCAGGGGTTTCCAAGGGCTCCCCTCACGTCTGACCTGTGGGATACAAGTGTGTGGGTTCCATCTACCACCTCCAGATACCACCTGAAACATAGAGGTCCCCAGTCCTCTTGCTTCTGATCTTCTGGTTCTCATTGCATTCTTATGTTTGATAATTTGTAGGAGCAACTCAAAATATACATGGAAAGAGCTATACTTATGATTATAGCTTTGTTATAGTGAAGAGCCAGCTAGGGCAAGGTCTGAGAGAGTTCAGAAACAAGAGTTCTCAGCTGTTAACAAAAAAGTACCATGGTTTTAACCCACAGTCACTCCATAGGAGAAAGATCTGGCAGTCTGCTTCCATGAAGATGCCAGCCTTGGAACCACTATGGAGCAATTCTCTCTGTCCTATGGAGTTATGGTTTACAATCAGCATGACGGCCATGGGCCTGTATCCTCAAGGAATTATATCATCCATCACAGATGTTTTAGCCAACCAGGAACTTCTGGGAGGTTTGGAGTCAGAGTTTTCACAGGGCTTTTGTGTTCTGTAATGCAAACTCCAGGCCCTCTCTTTGAGGTTAGTCACTCTCCTGCAGTGGGACTTTCCGGCCCAATCACCATGAGGCAGCATCATGAGTCAGGCCTCAGGCCTGACTAGCTAGACCAAACCTGAGTTGCTTTTCCTGCTTCATTGAAATTCCAAGAGTTCTCAGGAACCAAGGACAAAGGCCACATGACTTAGATAAAGCTAAACTCTTCATCACATGCATGGCCTTCCTCTCTGACACAAACTCTTATATCCATCTAGTCATGATGACTATGATTACGTTGGCTGTAGCCAGAGAATCCACGATAGTCTCCCCATGTTCAAGTTCGTCACATCTGCTTAGTTCCTCTTGCCAAATAAAGTAATATTCACAGGTTCTAGGAATTAGGATAGAGATATATTTTAGGGCTATTATTCAGCCTACTAAATAATATACCGATTTGTAAACAGACATAAATGTATCTACACAAAAGGAACTCTGAGGTGTTTTTTAAGTGCTAAATCAATCTAATGGCACAAAATTACAAATCATGGCCTTAAAGTTCACTTGTACGTATTGAAGATTCTATCAGGAAAAATAGCCAAGACACATATGTAAGAATGGAGTAATTTTGTGATATCTGAACTTTGAACTGGAGAGAATATTGGGAGACTGATTGTGAAATCCAGGTGGAAGTGTATGAGGTTGGTTAACAGAGAGCTTCCAGACACACGAAGAGGCAGATTCCAAGGTCTGATTTTTGCACAGACATCATTAATGCCATAAATAATGACATGCATGTAATTAGAGGTAGGCTATCATTTTAAATTACTGAGGTGAACTGTCTGAAAGTTGAGAACTGTGCATAATTGGAAAGTTATGGATCCAATTTTCTCAGAGTACTATATTGCAAGTTCTTGGTTCACCAAGTCCAGACCGGCTTCTCTTGTTCTCTGAGGACTTTAAGGGGACCGGGGCTGAATATAGGTCTCTTTAATGTTCATACTAGACCTGTACTCATATTATCATTTAGCATAAATCAATTTGACTTCCACAATATTTAACACAGCC